AAACCAAGAAGGCTTTCTTTTTAAAAAGTACACATAAGATCAACATTCACTTCTGGCTGGAACATATATAGCTCCTATGTTGACTTTTTCCTCACACACACAAAAGCAAACATTCACTTTTCATTGGTTAATATATCAACATATATTCGCCCTCAAAGTAGTACTGATCAAATAATATTCATTTTACTTACATGCCAACTCTGTTGTGATTAGTTAGAATACAGAAACTAATTGGATGTGGGGGAATAATAGGGATTTAAACTCAATTCTGATCATATTAGTCTAAATTTCATGTAACTATCTTCATTGTTGCCCTGAGGACAGAGGCATTTATCATGGATTTCACTGCCAATCATTTTAATTAGACAGAATGTCTTTAAAATGTTGCCCTATTTTTCAATAATGAAAATTTAAATACTTGGCTGGCTTTTTTCGAACCTTAATAGGTTGTATGACTAAAAAACAATAATTAGCTGCAAAGATGAAAACTCAACAGCTATCCAAACCACATGGGTGTGAACATTCAATACTTCATGAAATCTTGTGATGTAATCTTGGGACATGTAACTTCACAGCAGTTTCAGCCCCAGTTTGCGTTTTAAACACAGTCAGATGAATTTCAAACACAAAGAACAGAAACAACCAGTTCTAAAAAGGTGTGTTAATGAGTTTTTTGACATCTGCCAGAAAATCAGACACAACTACTGTAAGTTTCCTGCTACCATTATAACTAATCTCCAGACATGTCAAACTCCCAAATGGGCAGTCTTATTAGTAATGTGTCTACTAAGCAAGCTGATGTAAGAAGACAGAGTCCTAATTGGAAATGCTCTTCAAAAACATTAGTAGTTCAAGCACAATTTGAGGCTGGTGGGCAAAAGAGCTCAACCACTAACCCATAGTCTTAATTGTAGGGAAGCAAGCAGAAAGAGGGGTGGGGCACATTTCTCAGTTAAGTAACTACCATGAAATTATAGAAACTAGTTCCCTTTGGCATTAACAGTTTTACCCAGTTAAGATGCACACATGTACTTTAAAAAAGTTTTTAACAGTGCATCAAATAATATTCAGACTACCCACTCAACTAAAAACCAAATTTAAACTTTAAATATGGAACTCTTCATTCTTCTGTTCTTTTCACTGTGTGGTCATCCCAATAACCTATTAAATGGAAGGCTAGATAACAATGGAGATATCAACTCTCAATTTTCTTTCCCCATCTAAAACAGGATCATCAAGGATCACTTCACAGGCTCCTTTTTCAAATTACTGAGAAAATATTTTAAATGCTCCTCATTCTTGAAAAGTGTATCAATATGTACAACATACACAACTTATTCTACAGTCCACAGATCAAACCCAGCTTCCTAACCCATGTAATTTCTTCAGTATGTGCTCATGATGACATCTGTAACTTTCTGTCAACTCTCTTCCATTTATATTTACTTGCAGGGCCCAGATAAATTATCTCCTGGTCCTACATGTACACACAATCAATACATTTCTGAGCCCCTCCATCTTCAACTGCATCCTTCCTCACTTCCACCTAAATTTCAACTAACTACTCAGGAAAGCAAACTCAGTCATTTAATATACCCTCAAGAATATATGAAATTTCACAACTCTTCAAACTTCAAATGCTTTTTTTCTTTTAATGTTTAATGTTTCCCTGATTCCAAGGTACACCCCCACCCTCCAAGAAAAAGTCATTACGGCCAAGCCACTTCTAAGCAATCCCATTCTTCAAGAATCCTTTCATCCAAAATCCCACCTACTAACCAATCAACTCTGCATTTCAAACATACATCACACCTTCACTTTTTCTGAATTCATTTCTCATGGAGAAAAACAACAACAACCCTGATCTAATTTAGGGGTATACTAAAAACACCCTTCTCCTTTCCATTGGAACTTTTTTTTATTACTCTCCCCCAATGTCACAGAAAAGGCCATCTCCAGAACTGGAAGAATTCCTGCTTCCTATCTAATGATGTTAATGATAATGATAATGATAATGTGATAGGAAGCCTTAAGAGCCCTGCCTCTTTTCAAACTCAATTCTCTCCCCCTCTGGACAATTTCTCCCTTCTGCTCCAGTGTGTAGGACCGTCTGCGCCACACAAACCCTGCAACTACACTTGAGCCTACTTATATTGTGCAAAACACAGCCGATGTGGTTAGTTGAATGGCTCGGGGGTTATATAAAGGAAACACAGGAAATTGTGTTCACTAGATAGAAAGAATGGTTAAATTAACCCTGGCTAAGAGTGTCCGGCAAACCCAGCCCACAGTTCAGCCTTTTTACACGCTCATCATGAACCGCCGAATCTCACTTCGGCCAAATCGCCTTGTCCAACTTCACCCCGGTTGGAGGGTTCAGGTGTCTCGTGAGAAGGCTGGAACTCGGGCTACGTTACGATCAACTCGATCTCGAAGCTCTCCCGTTGCGGGGATCGAGACCGGCTCCCCATCCCATCTCCCCTGGGACCCCTTTACCCGCGAGCTCCCAATCTCCGCAAGAGGAGGCTCCCCCACCCCCCCACGCCCATTTTAGCAGAGCTCCTCTCCAAGCTACCTCCCTGTCACAGCGAACATCCCTCCCTCTCCGCCGCCTTCCCCAACCGCCCCGCTACCTTCTTCCTCCCACCCAAACCTCACCGCCCCCACTCGCTCAGCTCACGAAAGAGAGCAGCCGGACCCTTTCACCCCACCCCACCCCACCCCCCACCCCTTTCACCCTTACCTGGACCAGAAAGCGGGCAAGGCAGGCCGCGGCTTCGATTGGCGACTCCCTCGTCCTGAGCCAAAACAGCCTAAAGCGACGGAGCCGCCTCCGCCTCCTCTCCCGCCCGACCGCCTGCCCGACCGCAAGCTGAGGCGGCGCGAGGCACTTCCGGGTTGGTGGGGGGGGGAGGGGAGAGAGAGAGAGAGAGAGAGAGAGAGAGAAATACCCCCTCCGGCGCACGCGCATTCAGCAAGCGTGGTGGGAGGGTGTGGGGAGGGGAAGGAAAAGGCGAAGAACTGGGAGCGGAAGAGCACAAGCGCCCTCTTGCCTAAAGCGGGTCGAGGCGGGTGGGTGGTTCGCGTGACGCTTTCAGTCAGTCTGTTGGTGCCTGAAACTGCTCTCCAGATCACCAGAAAGGGCTCTGTGAGGGTGCTTTGAGAAAGTCTCAAAGATGCTTTTTCAGGAAGCAACAGGACTTTTTTTTTTCTTTTGAAGACGTTTCGCTTCTCATCCAAGACGCTTCTTCAGCTCTGACAGGATAGTGGGGAATGGAATCCTGTCAGAGCTGAAGAAGCTTCTTGGATGAGAAGCAAAATGTCTTCAAAGAAAAACCAGAAAGTACAGTTGCCTCTTGAAAAAGCACCTTTGGGACAACCACGACCTGGATGACTGTGAATCTCCATAGGCTTGTGAGGGAGATACGAGTGAAATCCTGAAGGGCTGGTGTTTATCAAGCTTTATTGTTGTGCAACCCGTAAATTCAAAATCTAAGGGACTGGTTTGGACAAAACTCAGCAGCACTTTTTCATATGGCTGTCAATAAAAATAGGATCGCCAAGAAGCAGCCCCTAAGTTGTATCGGACTTCACAACACACACACCCTCCCTGAGTTTGCCCAAATTCATTCATTGAAGTGGTGACACTATCTAACCACCTCATCCTATGCCGTCCCCTTCTCCTTTTGCCTTCAATCTTTCCTAACATCAGTGTGTTAATGAATCCTCTTTTCCTGTTTGGGTTGACCGAACTACATGCATCAACACGGGTAGTCCTTGAGTCACAACCACAATTGACCCCAAAATTTATGTTACCACATGAAATATTTAAGTGAGTTTGCCCTATTTTGACTTTTCTTGCCACAGTTGTTAAGTGAATCATTGCATTTATTAAGTTAGCAATGTTAAGTGGATCTGGATTCACTTGACTTTGCTTGTCAGGTTGAAAAAGGGGATTGCATGACACCTGGGACACTGCAACCGTTATAAATATGAACCACTTGCCGAGCATCTGAATTTTGATCACGTGACCATGGGGATGCTGTAGTGGTCGTAAGTGTGAGAAACGTGCATAAGTCACTTTTTTCAGTGCTGTTGTAACTTTGAGCAATCACTAAGTGGACTGTTCTAAGTTGAGGACTATCTGTACTTTGATTTGGGAAAATCAGTTTTGGATCATAACCTAGACTCCTAATCTTTAGTTACCAAGACAAGGAGAGTGTATTGTAACAGTTGTTTGGCTGTGGGATACTGAGATTCAACTGCTTGTTTACCTATGGAGATTACAGGATGACTTTGGCCAGTCATGCTGGCAACTAACCTACCTTAGACTGCATGATTTTAACTCTAAAAAGAGAGAATCCATAGAAATCACCTTGAACTCCCAGGTGAAATGGAAAATAAATGCAATTAACATTAAAAATTGAAAACCTGCTATTCTCCAACAAGCATACTACATTTGAGATCCTTTCAATTCACTGAGTAATAATTCTGTAAGATTCTAAAAATTAACCATGAAGACAATCAGCACAAGAAATTGTCAATTCCCTTATTTTACCTTTTCTTTAGATATTGTGATTTTTTTTCTGTATGGCCTAAAGCAGAAAATGTAACTTCTTTTTTCTCTGTTAAGCATATTGTAATTTCATGCATACATGTGTGTTTTGTCAGAATTCAGGGGATAAGATAAACAGAGGGACTAGAGTAATAGAGTTCAGTCTACATGCCAATTCCATAGGAAGAACACAGAGTGTGCAAACTATCATACAAAATTCTCAATTTCAGAGGCTAACAAAAAAATACCTATGATCATCAATATATCAGAGCCTTATGAGAAAGAAGTGCCAGATTCTCAAGCTACTTTTTGAACAGTAGGAATAACGTTATATTATTGCTAATGAACTTTGGATAATTGAAAAAGGCAAAGAATACAAAAAAGTTAATATTTTATTGATTACAGAAAGGCCTTTGTGCAGCCCATGTCAAGCGTGGAATGGGCTTAGGAAAATGAGAATCCTAGAACATTTTGTTGTCTACATATGAAAACATTACCCAGAATAGGAAGCCACAGTCCAGGCAGAATATAGTGAAAGTCTGGCTCCAGATTAGCAAAAGGACAGACTGTATTCTCTCATTTATTCCACCTACATACTGAATATAAATTGAAGAATCTAGATTAGAAAAGTAGGATGTTTTTAAAAATTAAACACATAACTGCTATTCTGATGACACAAATGTGGTAAGTAAAAATGCAAATGTTTTGCAAGTTTCAGCAGTGAATTCAAGAAGCACAGTGAATAAATAAAACTAAGAATAAACAAAAAGAAGACCAAACAAATGACAACATATGCCACTCTCAGAACTGACAAGGAAGATATTCAAGTGGGGGATAGTTTCTGCCTTTTAGGGACAACTATTATCAGTCAATACATTCCCACAACCTGCAGAAACCAGACTATTAATCATGCTTGGCCTATGATCATCATATTTTGGGTTTGTTTTGATTATTCATGTTGAAGACTGTGGCAAACTCTACTACAGGCAAGGTGTAAATTCATTTTTCAAATTATTTCAAAAACATTCCTTCAAAAGCTAACATTTGTAAAATATCCTTGCAGGCAGGGCAAGAAATAACCTATTCCAATGAAGACTACTGTAACCAGATTTGCAATGAGAAAATTGTTTTTAATATAAAAGTGAAAGAATATCAAAGTGCAAATATATCCTCATTTCCATTAGCTGAAATGGCACCAAGAGAGATGAAGGGAAGAAAGCACATTTTGTGTACCTTTCCAATTGTTCATGTTGAACAATTAGGCTTCTCCTTAAAATATCCTCCCCTCTCAAGCAATTGTAACAAATGAGTAGAAAATATTACTCCAAGTAGTGTAACCTATTTCAGTCTTTCAGTGAAAGAACAGAAGAACCAGCTTCCTGTTTCAGTGACATGAAGTGCTAAATATTGGTTCTAACTAAAATACAATTGCTTCATGGTCTCCAGACCCAAGGTATCTTCACACACTTTCTGATAATGGAGTGAGGCCTCCTTGCTCACATCAGCAGACAAATCCACAACACGTGCAAAGGTCCTGTGGGGAAAAGATGAAAAGGGGCAAAAAAAAAAAAGTTGAAGCAATTATATGAACAGGCTTCTAATTTCCTCAGAAGAACTTGTGAAAGTAATTAAAACCTTAATAGTACGGTTGCTTGAACGATTTAAATTTCATTTAGTTCAGGTTCAGGCAGTACAGTGCCTGGGGCATCATTAAACCCTAGATACTACAGTTAGGCTCATTTGTCTGATCTGCAAAGGTTCTTTTTATAAACAAAATTTAATTTACAAGTTAAATAGGAACGTGGCTTGATGCAAAACAAAACATGAATTATATTAAATGCATTAGGTTCATGCTGACTTTAATATACACGAGTCCTCTTAGGATAGGCATCATGGGGGATAGATTATTTTCCAGTAAATGGGTGTTTTGTAAGTTACTATGCCCACTCTGGTTTCATGTATAGGCAAATCCGCCCCATCAGCCATTTTGTGAGCACATCATCTCCTACCAGAATTTCAAATGTATTTCTCCCATGAAAGCATCTCATAAGGACTATGAACTGAAAAGTGCACTAATGGGAGGCCATGGCTAAGCTGTGGAAGTTTAGGTCGTCAGTGGAAGGAATGCAAGTGAAAGAGCCTGATTAGCTAATGACCACCACTACTCTTGGATTACAATTTACCTGAATTTGCAATTGTTTCAATCTGAATTTTCACTTCAATCAATTGAGGGATCATTCTAACTTTTATGAAAACAGATGTGTTTCAACAGAAACTATGAAAACAAATACATGCTAGGGAGCTACTATAATAGGAAAAGTCTAAATAGAAGCTTTCTTGTTCTTCAAACATTTCTACTCTCAATACAAAAGATGGGACTTAGGAAACAAGCTATATTAGCACTATGTGATCATCATTGCATTATTATATTCTGCAAATGAAAAATGCATAGTTTCTTCTTACGCCTTTACAAGTACCTTGGTAGCTCTGCATCTAGCTTCAAAGATACTTCCTCTAGTTCCTTCATGACATTCAGCGCTTTGGCATTTTCTTCAAAGTTTTGTAGCAGAGATTCATTCAAAACACTCTGAATCGTAGTCAAGCTTTTCTGTAAATCAGCTATCTCATAAAAATCAAAAGATGCAGCTGTTAGTATATACAACGTAGTCAGGTAACAGGTAGTCCATGACTTACAACCACAATTGAGCCCAAAATTTCTTTTGTTAAGCGAGACATTTGTGAAGTGAGTTTTGGCCCATTTTATGACCTTACTTGCCCCAGTTGTTAAGTGAATTATTTCAGTTGGTAAGTTAGTAATCTGGTTGTTAAGTGAGTCTGGCTTCCCCATGAACTTTGCTTGCCAGAAGGTCACAAAAGGTGATCACATGACCCAGGGACAATGCAACGGACATAAGTATGAACCAGTTGCCAAGTATCTGAAATTTGATCACATGACTATAGGGATGCTGCAAAGGTCATAAGTCACTTTTTTCATTGCTGTTGTAACTTTGTACGGTCACTAATGAACTGTTGTAACTACCTGTAGTGGTGATGATAATCAAACCTGGCTGCTTAGTTTAAACAAGCTTGCAAAAGATGACTTTCTGTATTGACTGAAACAGAATTACTTATGCGTAAATAAGATTTTGAAGGGCTGTATGTTGTATAAACTTCTTCAAAGTTTCATGCCTCTTTTTGCAGAATTGGATTGTCAAGGGGCTCAAAACTCCTGTTAGCATGAGGTTCACTATTACCTTAGCAATAAAATATTCTAAGTCATCAATAATAGAATTCAAGATGCACACGAATTCATACATATACAGGACCCATTAAAAAATTCCCCAATACAAAAGCATTTTCCAGAAGACCAGCTGTTAAGGCTAATTCATGCGCCAAAGTTTGGCCATCTGTTTGACAACATCATGATGACATTTTTGTACCTAGATATTGGCCCATGTCTTCTACGTAGATATCCTTCATGGGCAGTTCATGCCTAGTTGTGTCCAGGGCTGTGGCAAAATGCTTATAGTCCTCCCTAAACTGGGCACATTGTTCAGAAACAGGTCCAAGTATTTCAAGCTGGAAAGCAAGTGGGTGGAGCAGAGAAAAAAGAGAGATCATAATGATTAGTCATAAGAGGCAAATGAACTGTGCATAGTTCCCCACAATATTTTTAACAACAAATTTCACCACAACTGTATAAGTAATCTTTGACCTACAATCATTTGAAGTTATGATGATGATGAATGAATTGTGGTTATGCTCAGTCTCAAGAGTTCTGGCTATCCTGTCCCATCCCCAGTGGTCCAATGATTGCAATTTGGGCGCTTGGGAATTGGTTCACATCTAAGACCAGTTGCAGTGCCCTAAAATAATGTGATTACCATTTGCAACTTTCCCTGCTGGCTTCCCCAGGAAGTCACTAGGGAAGCCAGCAGGGAAAGTCACAAATGACCTGCCCCACCTCCTCCAGTTCCTCTGTGCTTCTGCCATGCAAGCCACTTATACACCCTCCATGACCCACACCATGCTTCCCTTACATCTTCCTGATTCTCTCACATGTACCCTGACACATTCTCCCCAACCCCTGCCTCATGCACCCTTCTTGACTAGGGCCTCTTCCACATACTTTTGCATCTTTTGTGTATCCTGCCTGACCCACTTCTCTCACTCTCACATCCTCATGCACCCTACCCAACCTGCTTCCCCCTCCCTGCATCCCCTTGCTCCCTCCCTCACCTAGCAGCAGGCACTTACCTGCCTTCCTGGGACTTGTAATTTCCTGCTGGCTTCCACATTGACTTGGTTTTGGGAAGCTGGCAGGAAGTTCCCTTGTCTAATAACTGTGGGATTCAATTAATTATGGCAATTGGGACTGCAGGGATTGTTGTGTTAAGCAATAGCATCACACTTTATGACTGCAAATGCTAGTGACAGAAATTCCAGTCCCAATTACTGTTGTTGGCTGAGGACTACCTTTAATAGTAGGGGGAAAGTACCATATTTTTTGGAGTGTAAGACGCACCCCCCCCCTAAAAGAGGGTGAAAATTTGGGTGCCTTTGTACATCAAATGTAGGCCCGCCCACCTGCAGCCCCCACCCTTTGGCCTCTGCCTCCCAGCAATTTGCCTCCTTGCAGCAAACAGCCAGTTTCAGTTTCAGCACAGCCTGATTAGCACAAGCAGCTGATTGTCGGTTGGATCGGCCTCCCGACCATCTGCTGTTTCAGGCTGCAGTAATTGCCATTGCCTATTGCTGCCTCCGCACGCCCCACTTTCGGCTTCCGCATCCCATTTTTGGCCTCTGTGCCCCCCCCCCCCCCCATTTTCAGCCTCCTCACACCCTATTTTCCACCCATTCCAATCCCCACCCGCCCGGAATGGGCAGAAAATGGGGCGCACAGAGGCTGAAAACAGGATGCGGAGGCCAAATATGGGGCGTGCAGAGGCTATGGCAATCCCTGCAGCCTAAAACAGCTGACTGGGAAGCTTGTGCTAATCAGGCTGTACTGAAACTGAAACTACGTTTTTCCTGTTTGCTGCAAGGAGGCAAATTGCTATGAGGCAGAAGCCGATTTTTTTTTTCTTGTTTTCCTCCCAAAAAGCTAGGTGCGTCTTATACTTCGGAACGTCTTACACCCCGAAAAATATGGTACCTTGCCTATTACTTCAGCAGCAAGAACATCTCCCTACTAACTGGGTGAAGGATACTAGGTTTCGTAATAGCTATGATTATGCTATGATATGTAGTGTTTTCAATTCTCCTAAGGAAACACTTCCTGTTTAATCATTGCATTGGTTTGAAATAGTCATAGAACCAGAGGTAGAACCAAGGTCATTTAGCTGAATCTGTGTGCTAGATCAATAATGTAAAATGTTCTTTAACAACCCTGGCTCAATGACTTTGATGACTATTAAGTTTCTAAATGAATACTTATGGTAAGCAAGAATTCTATCTGCCAAATAGTTGTTTTGTTTTTAAATAGCACCTATCACTAGGACAGATTTTCCAGATTGATGCCCTCTACAGAAATATTAAACTTCAAACTTCCTAATTCAGTTGAAATATATTTATAAGACAAAAAAGTGGGGTTTGATTAAACCTAAGGGAGTACAGTATCTATATTTGAACAGAAAGTCTGAACAGAAAGCAACATTTGTAAAAACCCTTAAGTGTTTATTACATGACTAAAGGCCAGCTTTAGTTATGTAATAAAAAAACATACTAGAATGATTGTTCATTTATTAGCATGACTAATGAAAAGATTGTGCTTGAATAGGGAAACATTTCACTCCAGTCTATCAAAGATGACCATAATCATGGCAGAGAAAATTAAAGGATCAAAATGATAAAAAGCCCAAGCACTAATTCTGATGAAGATATTATGGAATATTGTTATCTGAAGATAATATTCCAGAGATCAAAAGAAAACAATTTGATCCAGTGTCTCCCATTCAAACAAGGAGTAAAATGGTAATATCTAGATAAAAATGTATTAAAAATTGCTATCCTAAGTATAAGGACCAAAAATGGATAACTCAATTCTTCATTCTTCTGCCACTCTTCAACTTTCTCTTCTACAACATCCTTAACACCTTGTCAGTTTTTTAATCTCAAAAGGTGAGAAGCATGACTGGTCAACAGTTCGTATACCTGCATGTTGGACTACATTCCTATACACTCTGCTATTTCAATTATTCTTAAAACGAATTAGGGACAACATTTAGGATTACTGCCTCAGTGGTGCAGTGGTTAGAGTGCAGTACTGCAAGCTACCCCCACTGCAATTTGGCAGATCGAATCCCACCAGGCTCAAGGTTGACTCAGCCTTCCATCCTTCCAAGGTGGGTAAAATGAGGAGCCAAATTGTTGGGGGCAATATGCTGACTCTCTAAACCACTTTGAGAGGGCTATAAAGCACTATAAAGCGGTATATAAGTCTAAGTGCTATTGCTATTATACATCTAATGTATTGTATTTTTGCTAATGTGAAATGCCTGAAAGATTCTGGGAAGGAAGACCAAACCATCCAAAAACTATGATTGATTCAGAGATATGCATAAATTCTGGACATTAGAATCTAGAGATTAATAAAATTTGCTTCGGTCTCGTCCCTATTGATAAAGTAGGATGGGAATTGAAATTTGGCACATCCAGAGGTCTTTAGACAAAGTATATTTTCACTACATTCGGTGTTTTGCCAAAAATGTGTTTTATTCAGGTTTTATCTGTTTCACATTTAGCCTTTGGAAACAAAGCAGAACATAATTGTTCCACCTTTCGCATGGTATCCTGCATTTACTTCAAACCTGGGGCAAATGTTTGAAATAACATTTCTTCTTAGGCAAAACATTCCCTTTTCATCTCTTTTAACTGTTATCTGTAAAACTGGTTTCCCTGTTGATATATTTTACAATGTATTTTATTACTGTTACTTTCTGTAGTAAAGTATGTGGATTTTCATCTTTTCTGCAAATAAATTATTTCTATCTTTTGTGCAAAGGTGGTTTATAAACATAATAACTGACTGCATCTCCTTGGGCCCATACTACAACTCGGCTTGCTTACAAGAGTCGTAGACTATCAGACTAGAGTTCTGAAGAACTTACAACAGTATTGAATGGGTGGTGGTTATAACTAGTCCTTGTAGTTATGGCAGTCACAGCATCCTATGGTCACATGATTGTGATCTGCAACTTTCCCCACTGGCTTCTGACAAGCAAAGTCCATGGGGAAGCCAGCAGGAAGTCACAACTCACAGTCAGGTGAGGCTCTTGCTTAACGACAGCAACCGGAACTGTTAATGCTAAACAGTGCAAAATCAACTTATTTGTCAATTTATGACATGTCACTTAATGACATAATGTCTGGTGCCAATTAGCTCAAGTAAGCAAGGTTACCTATATATTTTAATGTGGGTATAGCAATTTAGCTATTACTAAGTTAGTAAAAGCCCTCAAAAATAATGGAAAAAAAATCTAAATAATGAATTGACAGAAGTCCAGAATAGAAAAAAAGGGAGACACCTGTATCCATTATGCCTGAAGTACAATGCAATAACAATGTATTATCCATCCATTTATAGAAAAATCGTTTAATTAGGAATGCCTTATATTCTTTCCAAATCCAAGCTTTCCTTAGGAAGCTATTGGTAGACATTTGATAGACATTTTACATTAATTTTGGTGTTTTCAACCTATTCCACATATATTTTGTAAAACTAAGCCAACCTGTCTCTCTAGTGCTTCAGAAAGCTCAGTCTCTTTCTTCAGATGTTGCAGTTTATGCTTCTTTTCATGTGCATTCGTCTGTAGTTTCTCCACTTCCTCACAGAGCGCTAACAAATTTCTTTCAGCTTTCCCCTCCAGGAGGACAAGGTTTTTCTCCATCTGTTACAAGAGAGCATCTCTAGGTTCAAAACTATTTCAAGAGGTTTCCAAAGAAGGTGTTTACATCTTTTATTTAAAGGCATACTGCATTTGTGCAGTTGAGCTATTACCTTCATGGAGGCATAAGTTAACAGCAGCATCTGAGAGTCCAGCATCCCAATCAGATCATCCGAATCAGAGGGTGTCTAATAAAGAAGCAGACAGTTTGAAGTGAGTAGACCAAAAAATGGTCACACAGCAGGACTGTGACTATTTTCCAATGGCTTCAGAGAAGGCAGCTCAGATTAACCCATGGTAGATACATCGTTACTGATTTTTCCGGAATAGGAACATTATAAAAAGTTTTAGCCCAAGAATCCAATTGTTTCTCTTATTTTCCTTTACTGCTGTATCACCTAATGTAGCATACAATTGCCCACTCTGGCTGCAGATATCCCTCCTCAAAATTACAAGGTTTTTTGGTTAGAGATACTGAATAAATTATCCTTGCAGTTAATATGATTGTGAAAATATCACAATTTAATGGCAGAGTACATGCTTTGTATGCAAAGCAGCCTTTATATAATCCCTGGCATCTTTAGGTGAGGCTGAATTATCTCTGAAATCTGAAAAGTTTCTGCCAGCCAGGTACATGATGTTGGATTAAATACTCATTTTATTTGACAAGGGAGAAAAAAGCCTTTTATGCACCTAGTTTGTTTGCCTCAGTTTTATTTCCATAGCTGGGTCTCTTTCCTTCTGCTCATTATTTCTTGCAGGCATGCTCACCAGTTCTTGGGTTCAGAGAATGCTGACGTATTTTATTTATGAATATTATTATTACTATTATTATCATAGGTAATACTCTGTCCTTTGGTTGTCCTACAAAAATATATACTTTGTTTGTCACAGCAAATCTGTACAGTCTTTAAGCATATAACCTGAAATATGACATTAAAATTTTATTGTAATAAAATTAAAATTTTATTTTATTAAAACTTAGATTTTTTTTCCCCAGGAGTCAAAGCAACAATATATAGTGATTGTGGCTTACGTGTCTTTTATTGCTTTAATCAATATGGATATTGCAGTAACTATACTATTTTGAAAAGTTTGATACAACTCTCCTTTTTCAATATTCGCCAGAGGTTTAAATACTTGATCACCATTAAGATGGCCCAGTTGAGGCACACCAAAGGCCTATTCATCCTTATAAGTACACATCCCATAGCACAGGGGTCCCCAACCACCGGTCCGCGGACCGGTACCGGTCCGTGGAACAAGTCCTACCGGGCCGCTGGCTTGCTGGGCGCCGCCATCTTGTTTTGATGAAAAAGTGCTTCCGGTGAGCTTTTCCAAGTAGAAAGCCATTTCTACCCGGAAAAGCTCACCGGAAGCGCTGGGCACCGCCATCTTGTTTTGATGAAAAAGTGCTTCCGGTGAGCTCACCGGAAGCACTTTTTCATCAAAACAAGATGGCGGCGCCCAGCTGATGTCGGTACCGGGCCGCGCCATAAAAAAGGTTGGGGATACCGGGCCGCGGCGTAAAAAAGGTTGGGGATCACTGCCATAGCAGACAACTCTGGGAAGACTGTCATTAACAAATAGCCCCTGGCAGCCTCTATTAATTCCACACTTCCCCCTTTATTTATTACATTCATGGGTTGCTCCATCATGATTTTGGGCAGTATACAATATAAAACAATGTAAATTGGTGACACAGTGAACTCAGAAAGAAAAGAACACCCCCTCCCCACCAAATAAACCTCCACCACCAACAGAATCCAAGAAACCAATCATCCCATAACAAGTCTGCCATCTATTCTAACCCAAGGCCTAGAGAAAAGCCAAGTTTAAATAAGATCAGGGTGGAGACCAAACAGATATCCCGGGAGAATGTCATTCCTGAGTGGCAGGTGCCATTACAGAGAAGGCCTGCTTCCTGGGTCCTATTATGTATCACCATTTCATTAAGAGAATCCAAAGCATATAGAAAACTATGGAAGATCAAAAGTCTCTTTCACATAATCTCATGATATGCCATGTTATAGATGACAACTAGCATCTTGGCTTGCACACACTAGTAACCAGTGCAGCTAACAAAACAGAGATATTACAACAGGGATATTGTAGCATGAACATCATTGCCCATGCTGCTGCTTTCTGGTTTTCCAAATGATCTTCAAGGCAGCTCCCATACAGAGCCCACTGTGATAGTCCAAATCGAGTGAGGCATCCAGGTTAGTGGCCAATTAACTTACTACAGCAATATTTCTCCTCATGAATTATGCTGAATAAATTTTTCACACAGCACCAAGTAACAGAAGGAGTCTCTAGAAAGAAGGCCAATGTGAAATGTCTGCCATTATCACGAACACAGTGGAAATGAGATATAAAGGTAATAATAGGCTGGCATATGACAGCTCAGTCCCAGGAAAGAATTCATCTGATTAAGGTATCAAGAGCTGCCACCTCAGTAAAATTACTCATTCAAGGTTCATTTTTTTTAGCCAACAATGAAGTTGCTTTACTTACCAAGACCTTTTTTTTGGAAAAGCCTTTTATATTGAGCTTTGAAACTGGTGTCTTATAGCGGCTTTTTTCTGAAAGTAAAAAAGGCAATCAAAGACAGTTGCATAAAGCAATGAGGTCAATTACCTGTGTCCTAATATTTTTCAGCTACTTACTGAGAATCTTGCTTTAAAAATGTTGAAGGCAAGAATGATCTGTACTAAACTGCTTCTTTGGGATTTTAACAACATAGAGAAAATTCTAACGAACACTCATATTCCATTCTGTATCTTGATTTAAAAAAATAGGAACCATCAAGTCTTTTCTCAAAAAGTAGGAAGATGGAGATACAATAAAAGACATGAACTGGATTCCATATTGCCAAAAGGTAAAAACTCAGGGATGCAAAGTCATGTTAGATATATCAGTAGTGCCTTGGAATGGCTATGTAAGAAAAGCAAATATTAATTGATCCGAACAGCTAATTTAGATTTGATCTACACATTCTGTTTAAAGAATCTGGTGTTACATAACCTTGAGTGTCTACAATTCAATTTAAAATAGCTTTTGTATAATTTTTGGAATGAAATCATAAGCCTATTTTATTGCAACTAAACTTACATTCAAGTATATAACTCAAGAGCGCACGTACCATTAATAGCTGAAACCTCCAGTTCTGGTCGATTACTCTCATGGCTATCCAGAAAGGTTGACTGTAATATACTAGGTGTAACGTCTGCAGAAAAAGGAGTGAAGAAGAGTGTTTTTTTCCCTTTGGAATTCTGATTACTTTAATTAGGCCAAGGTAAGGAACCCATGTTTGACTAAATAATTGAACTGACTTGAAGAAACTTGGGGGTTGTATCCCAGCAGTGGAATGACTATTGATTCAAGTAGACATTGACACCCTGTGCACCATGTAACTTTTAATACACTTTTTCCACACATATCCCCATATTCTATCTCTTTCAGACACACATATCAGTTTGTATCTGTTTTAATAGGGATTAGACTATTTTAAAACCTATTGCTATTAAAGTATAAACTTCAAGGGGGGGGGGGGAAGCTTGGGTGAGAAGGGATTATATATGCTTTCTATTAGCACTTTCCATTAAAAAGTCCTGAAATTAAACTTTAAAAGAAGTTCCATTGAAATGATGACATAGAAAGGGTAATGTTTCAAATAAGGATTGCAGAATTAGTATTCCCCTCTAAAAAAACACCATATGTTGCAATGAAGTTTTAGATTAGCTACCGGTACTACTGCCCATAATCAAAACTGATCTAAATCCCTGAAAGCAAGTACTTTCTCAAAGACAACCAGGAGGCCCAGGAACAGTGCAAAGAGGTTCAGAAGTTGAAATAGGCCCTTACTAAATGCATTCAGGACAAAAAAACCTCTCTGCAGGCTAGATGAAGCCTAAATAAAGTGAATCCAATGTCCAAATGAACAATTTTCAAGTACATTCAAAAATGAATTCCAGGATTTTATATAAACCCCTACTGGACAGAATATTATGTTCATCTTCTACTGTTGCCAAAATGTTGCCATCAGGAGCTTTCCCCATATCTCAGTCAAAATAATAATAATAATGGCAGATAAGCTTTCCTATAACATAGCCAACCTTGCTGAACTGTTTTGGCATCTGATACCTCCAGGGGACTGCTGAGTGTACACTCCACATACAAGGCAATAATTCAATTCAATCAATCAAAGGAAATTCACAAAGACACTTTTAAGTCAGAGATGCATAACTTTTGCACTAAGACAGCCACATTTGGTCCTTACAAAGGTTGCCAGTTCCAAGCTCCCCAAAAGTTAGTAAGACCAGGACCATACCAATTTGATTTAGAATAATTGAAAAGTATATCATGAGAAAAAATCTTTTTCCCATTCATTACACTGTATGTTATAATTTGGCAGCAACTTCTAGCAACTTATATCCATGACAGGATAACTAAATGCTCTTCAGATTGTTTCTGTGAAGCTACCTGGATTCTAGAAAGTGCCTACTGTGGACATTTGGTAACTAATGCAAGGAAGACTTCTAGATTGTGTAAAGCAAAAACTTACTTATTGAGGTCTTGAATTTCTGAAGAGGTGGTCTCTTTGGAGATCCTACATTTTCTAGACCTTTTGCAAAGGACAGATTGGTGTTTGAGGTACCCTGCCAGTTAAATACATACATGTTGAAACTAAACAATTCAGTTTTATTTGATTGCTAGTTTGGGATAATTTTTTTATATTTCAGGTGGTTATTAAAATAAATCTGAGTCTTGTACTACTATCCTACTCTGTTTATAATAGGAAATCATAATATATAATTATATTATATAACAGGAAAATACATTGATATTTATGAGCCATGGTGGCACCGTAGTTAGAATGCAGAACTGCAGGCTACTTCTGCTGGCTGCCTGCAATTTGGCAGTTCGAATCTCACCAGGCTCAAGGTTGACTCTGCTTTCCATCCTTTCAAGGTCAGTAAAATGAGGGCCCTGATTGTTGGGGGCAATATGCTGACTCTGTAAACTGCTTAAGAGGGCTGTAAAGCACTGTGAAGCAGTATATAAGTCTAAGTGCTATTGCTATATAAAGGGCCTTTTCTGAGAGTTTTCAGTTTGATGGGCTTAACTTTCCTTATCTTTTTGTTATAAGAAATATAGCATGTGATAAATTACAATTAATTGATACAATTAATTCTTTGAATATATAAAACAAAACAGGTCCCTCATTTTTTTGTATTCCTGAACAGTTTCCTCTAAATGTTGCCTCTCTGAAGTAGTCCTTTATTTTCTCAGTATTATTTATGACTTCTCTGACATTTTCTGTTGTATACAAATTAAAACATGAAACATTTTGTTCCTGCAGGCTCACAATTAAAAGACATGACAAAAAAGACTTGCATTCATTTACTCAGATAACAATGATAAACAAATCTGTAATTAAAAAATACTCCTTGAAACCTATAGAGCATTAGTCAGACAAAAGCTCCCTTAAAATAAAGGAAGCAGCAACTTAAAAATTTTCATTTTAAAAAAATAGCATAGGCTAGAAAACAAAGTAACTTTCCTCTTACACTGTAGTACCAGAAAGCACCACGGAACCAGAGGTGGTATTCAGCAGGTTCTGACCAGTTCTGGAGAACTGGTAGCGGAAATTTTGAGTAGTTCGGAGAACAGGCAAATACCACCTCTGATGGGAGATTTTATAGTATCCTTCCCCTGCCACGCCCACCAAGCCACGCCCATAGAATCAGTGGTAAAAAAAATGAATCCCACCACTGATGGAACATGTTTTTCATGCCAGCTGAAGAAGTCCACACATCTCAAAGTTGCCAACTTTAAAAAAAAAACACTGCTATAGAGCAATGTCTATGGAGATTCTCAATCATCCACGGCATCGTTGTTGCAAAGGTGCTTTTTTCAAGAGGCAACTGGACCAGAGGTGGTATTCAGCAGGTTTTGACCAGTTCTAGAGAAGTAAGCGGTAGTGGAAATTTTGAGTAGTTCGGAGAACCGGCAAATACCACCTCTGACTGGCCCCGCCTCCCAAGTCCCAGTTGATCGGCTGGGTCTTCTTTTGTTGCCCTACACAGGAGAATGGAACTGGAAAGCAGGTTAGTGGGGTGGGGAATGAATGGGATTTTGCAGTAACCTTCCCCCAGGAGTGGGGAGGGAATGGAAATTTTGTGTTATCCTTCCCCTGCCATGCCCACCAAGCCACGCCCACAGAACTGGTAGTAAAAAATTTGGAATTCCACCACTGAACTGGACTTTTTTTTTTCTTGATAAAAAATACAGATAAACCTCCAGGTGGCCTTAATGACTTGCTAAAAGGATGCAAATGACCAGCTGTCTGCAAGGAGTATAAATCCTTCCATTCCCGGCCATCCAGTCAGAGTTGAAGAAGCTTCCTGGGTAAGAAGCGAAACGTCTTCAAAGGAAAAAAAAACAAGAAAGCCCAGTTGCCTCTTGGGAAAAAAAAACATTTTTGCTATAGAACAATGTAATGCAGACTCACCTTTCCACCTGCTTTTTTATCGTACTGCAGGTAACGAGATGGCACAATTCTTCCCCCTGGCAGAGGAAAAATGGACAGAGAAACATGAGATAAAATTTGCACGCGTACCATTTCTTAACCATGAGACAAGCAGTTTTTCCAGAGACTCTGGGACTCTTTATGGGAACAATGTTGAGACCAAGCACTCGAGTCCACAAAACGACTCCTGTGCAAAGCTCCGATTTTAAGCTCGAACAACTTTGTGCAGCGGATCGGCTGCTGGTTACGGACCATGAAATCTACTCTCCCAATGCTATTACTCACTTCTCTGTTTCGGTCGGGCACCCGTCTCCATCTCAGTCGTTCCAGGCTCCCTAGAAAGACAAATGAATTTGGGTGAAAGGAAAATCAAAACCCAAACCATCCATCGCTGCCGTCTATTCGCTCCGCGCTCTCACCCGCCGAGCGGCACCTTTCCCGCCATTTCCGCCGAACAAACTCACTGCTTTCCACACCCATCAAAACAAAATAAGCCTCAGCGCATGCGTCCTGGAGCCCAGTTGGAAGGGGCCGCCTGAGCCGCCCGAAAGGCGGAAGGCCGGAAACTAGAGCGTCTCGCTATCAGGGAGCGCCTCGGGTTCATTCATTTCTCTTGTCATTTCATTTCGCAGCGGAAAATCCTCACTTCCGGCTTACTCAACTTTCGGTCGGCGGCCAGGCTTGACGCATGCGCAGAACACTGCTCTGTTTTTAATTAACTGTTCCATTTATTTTCCAAGGCGAGCAGCGGGACCGGGTTAGCCGTTATATTAATTATTAAACCCATTCTGTGAGACCCCGTGGCCTCCACCAACGGGGATCGAACCTACTTCCGCTCTAGTAGCTGAAATAGACAGGCAGCTGGTACATGTGACTCGCTCTTGCTTCACGCCGGCCGGTTTCGTTCGCCTCTTTCCTTCGCTTTTGGCTCTTCCTCTCTTGCAAAGAGGTACAACCCTGCACTAATCGGTGAGCAGCCCCGACGAAGGCTAAGTTATCGGGACAAGGTTTGAATCGAGATCTCCTTACGCTTTGGTGTGAGGACCCGTTGATGAGGACCCGTTATGGTGCCCGGGGCTCAGTCTCGGGATATTTGGGCAAAGTCTGAATTAGTTCCAGAAAGGTGGAGAGGGTTTGTCGCTGGCCACTTGCAGGTTCTTCTTCATAGCTGCATGTTTCCTCTCACTCAGTGGAAAAAGTTGTCCCTTTGGGCATGAGCAGAGGGCACCTGGGCGCTTGTGTCCCAAACTATACAATGAGGGTCTTGTTCACAAAATCGCGATGCCTTCCCCTTTGTTGTTTATTGCAGTGTTTTTTAAACTTATTTCTCTCAAGGCCCCTTTCCTCTTTTTAAAAATTAAAGAGGATCCCCAAAGAGTTTTTGTTTCTATTTATTGATATTTGTCATATCAGGGAGAGATGGGTGGCAAACAAATTTAATGAAATATATTAAACATTAAAATGGGTGCACTGGCTGTCGTGACTGCCTCTCTATTATTTGATGGGATTTTAATAATGTAATTTTTCAACCTAGCTGGCAAATAATTTTGATTTTGAGGACCCACCCTGAAAAGGCCTTGGGGATCCTCAGGGGTGATAGGATTTACACTTTAAGAAATGTTGGTCTGTTGGAATTTATAATCTCCTGTAATGATTTAACCAGTGTTTCAAAGTCTGAAACAGTATCCAGGAAGGTCTATGCATTATAACAAGTTTAAATTGCAACAGTGTTAGCTAAATTTAAAAAGTATGTTTGGAGATTGGAAAGCATGGAATGAATCCTTTGCTTACTGTACAGGAAGTGGGAACTCTGGAGATGTTGCTCTCCCCAGCGGGAAAACTCTTACGCATTGGTTTTACCTAAATTGTCTACAGGTGTTAACATAAGGTAGTCCTTGTTTAGCAACCACAATTGGGGCTGACAATTTGATCACTGAGTCAAACCGCAACAGTACATATCTTACTTCAACTTTCCTTTGCTTTACAGACCTGTGAAGGTCGTAAATGTGAAGACTGATCACCAAGTTACTTTTCCCCCCCACTGTTGTAACTGTGAACAGTTGCTAAATGAGGAGGACTCTAGTGCCTTTGGCAGTAGAAAGAAATCAGTCCTCAGGGAGCCCACTCTTAATCCTTCTACTCAGAACAAATCCTTTGGGGGACTTAATTCAAGAGAAGAGACATAGCATTACTTAAAGTGTGGAGTGAATGGGTAACAGATACAAATGTGCTGGGCCCTCAGAAACGTGCTTTTTTTTTTTTTTTTTTTTTTCATTTTGCTACAGTTCCCTTTCACCTTGTTCTTGGTACTAGGAGAACAGCTATGCTTGCTCGGGGAAGAACAATTTTCTCTGGACTTTCTGTCTACTGGAAACCCCTCTTCAAAGGCCGCCTCCTGCTTGTAACCAACACGGTCAGCTGTGGAGGGCTTCTAGCAGCAGGAGATGCACTCCGCCAATCCTGGGAGATAAAGAAGGACTCTAAACAGAAATGGGATCGTGCCCGGACAGGTCAGTTTTATGTCATGTTTAACTGCTGGTTTTACCTTTAAAATGCTTCCTGGACTGACATTGAGATATCTCTAGGATCACTCAGTTTCAATCTGCTTGATTACTAGACCCCTTTTCCAGAACATCAGGAGAATGAAGGCCTCAAATGTTTTTCTGTAGTAGCAGTACCAATATGGAACTTTCTGCCCCCTGACATCCGCTGAACACCTACCTTGCTGGATTTCAGGACATTTTTATTTGTTTATTGAATTAAGGGATTGTAGGGTCATAAAGAGGGAGATTCTATTCGATTTGTGTTGTCACTTGTCTTTATATTTATGACTCTGGCTCACACAATGAAAAGCAACCCCTGCAAACAATAAATAGAATACAAATTAAATGAGAACAAATTTTTAAAAAACTGAATTAAAAGCCATAAACAGCAGGAAACTACAAGTCATATGTCAGTCAATGCAAGCATTCCAGCAGGCTTCACACAACTGGATCCCTATGCACAAGGGCAAAACAGAAGTGAACCGCAAGCAGTCCTGTAAGGAACTTATTATCAACTTAATTTTAGCTGCTAAACTTATAATTGCCCAATAGATAACATAATAAATGAGTTGTGGATTAATAAGGTCTCTTCAGTTTGCTACATTAGGGAAAAAAATAGTTAAAATAAATAAACATCAGAGGCAAGATTCACAATTCAAATGTGGATGGTTTAAAATGTATATAGTTTTATAGTAAATTGCTATAAACTATAATATGGCAATATGTTAGATATATGGTAAATTTGTAAATTACCTGTCTTTAATGCTAGTCCTTGGCTTATGACCACAATTGAGCCCAACACTTCTATTGCTAAGCAAAACAGTTGTTAAGTAAGTGATATCCCATTTTACAGCCTGTTTTGCCATGATTGTTAAGAGAATCACAGCAGTTGTTAAGTCAATCATGTGGTCATTAAGCAAATCTGGCTTCCTGCAATGAGTTTGCTTGTCAAAAGCTGGCTGGGAAGTCACAAGTGGTGATCACATAACCTTGGGATGGTACATCTGTCATAAATATATATTAGTTACCAAGCACCCGAATTTTGATCTTGACCATGGGACTACTACAATGGGGATAAGTGTGAGAACCAATATAAGTCACTTTTTTCAGTGCCATTGTAACGTTGAATGGTCACTAAATGAATGATTGTAAGTCAAGGATTACTTGTACTTTGTAGTTGATTTTTTTAAATATTCTTCTCTTACATCATGGGTTTTTGGTATTTGCTGATGAATCCCTTATATTTTGCTAATGGAGCAAATTTCCTCCCTCAGCACGAATGTTCGCCATCGGCTGCACTATGGGCCCAATGATGCACTACTGGTACCTGTGGCTAGACAGGGCCTTCCCTGCTGCTGGCTTCAGTGGCATCAGGACCGTCCTGAAAAAAGTTTTAATTGATCAGATCGTTGCCTCGCCAGTCTTCGGGGTTTGGTATTTCATAGGTAAGACTAAATTCCTGATGCTGGAAGACAATTTCTATTCTTTTGAGGGCAAAAATGAATGGGAAAATATATGGGCTTTTGCTACAGATCTTGTGTGGGGATAGCAGAAGCAGAGGGTGTGGCCTTTCTGTTGCCCCTTCTGTGCTTGGCTTCCTCTGAAAAATATACAGTTCCTTTCATTCCCAGTAGCCAAAGAATACCTCCCATATTTCCATCTGCCTTGTTATTATCTGCAGGGATTGGATCTTTAGAAGGACAGACTCTGGAGCAAAGCTGGCATGAATTGGAGGAGAATTTTTGGGAATTCTACAAGGTAAACTTAATTTTTGTTCTCTACTTTCTGATCCAAAGTTTGTGGATGGAGTTAACTTAGTCTTTTTCTGTTTGCAGATGGACTGGTGTGTGTGGCCACCAACGCAGCTGATCAACTTTCTGTTCCTGCCACCCACGTATCGAGTGATTTACATGAATGTCATCACTCTAGGATGGGACACTTACCTATCATACCTTAAATATCGTGTGAGTAGGACTCAACTAAAATAATTGGTGTCAGAAGGATAGGCAGTCCTCAACTTACAACAGTTTGTTCAGTGACTGTTTGAAGTTACAGTGGCACTGAAAAAAAGTGACTTATGACCATTGCAGCATCTTCATGGTCACGTGATCAGAATTCAGACACTTGGCCATTAACTCATATTTATGACGGCTGCCCTATCCTGGGCTCATATGATCATTTTGCAACCTTCTGACAAGCAGAGTCAATGGTAGATCCAGATTCACATAACAACTGTGTTACTAATTTAACAACTGCAATGGTTCACTTAACAATTGTGGCGTTCTGACCAAGGCTTCCCGAGACCGTAACTAAGCACACGCTTAGTTAAAACAACTCTTGTTTTATTTCAACACTGGGAATTATTTTCATTCCCAGCCGGTAATGAGTCCCAAACAATCCCTTCGAGATAAGCACCCACCTTTCTTTCCTTTGAATTGCTGCCAACAACTAGTGCGCCAAATGAATTATAAAAAACCAACCGAAGTACAAAATCCACATAGAGCTTCAAGGATTAATCCGAACAGAACGAACGACTTTGCTTCCTGCAAAGGTTTCTCTACCTTTGCATGTCCTTTATACCTTAGAGGAGGGACAATCACCTCCAAACCTTACTCCCGAATCGCCCCTTTTGTCTTAGCTGCTCTTACCTTCTAGCAGCAGCTCTGCACACACGCACACTGGGAACAGGCTCCCCTGGTTCCTCTGCCTCGCTGCTGCCAGACTCTGGAGGCTCTGGAGTGAGCACCCCACTCCCTGATGGCCCTGGCCCCATCTCTGCATCAGACGCAGGACCCTCGTCTGAGTCCTCTCCAGACTCCCTGGCTGGTCCCCGTTTTTCCCCACTGTCCAATTCCGCTGCCGTCTACACAGGCTGCTGGCGAACCACAACATGTTGTGGGAAAGAGCATAAAATGGGGCAAAATTCACTTTAAAAATGTCTCACTTAGCAACAGAAATTTTGGGCTCAATTCTGGTCTTTAGGTCAAGGACCTATAATTCAGATTAAAACACTGGGTGGAATGAGTGTAAAGTTGTGTTGAGTAAAACCTTTTCTCTAAGTGGCTTGATAAACTTCAAGCTTATAGAGCCAAATGTGTGCTAATTGGTTGTTTTGTTTTGTTTAGAATAAAAAGCCATCACTCAGCCAGGATGAAGCCTCTAAACCTTGCACTTCTGAGATCCAGACTACTGGGTGAAAAATGTGAATAACCAAACTACTTCTTAAAAACTCGAAGCAGTCCACAGCATCTTTTTTTTTTTTTTTTTTGAAAAATACTATTTGAATTCTTCTATGTGGCAAATGGTGGCTGAATGAATCTGTTTTCTGCAAGCAATTCTGATTTTCCTTGTCAAAAACTCTGTAATAAGAACGAGACTGAAGGCTCAGAGCACTTTTCCTTTGACAGGATGGTGCGAATTGAAGCAGCAACCAGCATCTAGCAAGCAAAAGTGCTGCCCCTTAAAAGTGCCAAATTATAGATTTTTCTAATTTATTTATTTATTAATTTTGTATCATCTCACGATTTTGGATGGCATGCAAGAATCTCAACAGTGATCTTAAAATCAATCGTCATCAAAAACAGAGACTAAGAAAATATGTCCATCTTCCTTCTCAAACTAAGTCTCAGAGAAATCAGGAAAGTTTTCCAGAGCTTCCCAAAAGCCAAGAATGATGCATCAGATGCCTTCTAGGGAAGGCATTATTCCATAGAGCGGTGTTTCTCAACCTCAACAGCTTTAAGATAAGTGGACTTCGACTCCTAGAATTCCACAGCCAGCAACGGGGTGGGGCCATATTTGAGAACTGTTGATTGTCTTCAGATGGTTCAAATTAGCAACTCAGTTCATTCTTTGGAGGATGAATGCATCTATTTTGGAAATAATAACTATTTAGATAACAGGAAAGTCAGACAAGATAAGAAAGGGAGAACTAAAAGGGGGAAAATTCGTTTTGGTACCTGTACATCCACAGCATCCTTTACAGAACATGCTGCCAGAGGAGATGGATTTGGGCAGCCTATACATTTAATTAATATATCTTTAAAAATTACAAACAAGCTTGAGAGTAACTTCATCCCATGACTGTGTTAAAAGATTAAATATGGGAAACTAGATTGTGTCCTTATTGTTATGCTCACAAGCAGTGCCACAGCAGGTAGAATAAAAAAAGGCCTTAAAACCAAGAGTGAGTGACCTAATGACTCTAAAGCATGGGAATTTTTCAATTCCTTATTTTTTTTTTCCTTCAGTGGATTAGAGAAATACATCAGGGAAATGTTTGCTCACAATATATCCAGACTTTTCTTGAACTTATTCTTCCATCTTATGTACTATATTTGCTGCATAAGTAGATCAAACTGCCAGGGGTGGTTGTGTGGAACATTAGGGTTGCAGTAAATATTATGGTGTCTATGGAGATTCTCAATGATCGAGGTCATGGTCATCTCAAAAGTGCATTTTCCAAAAAGCAACTGGACTTGTTGGGGTTTTTTTTCTTCTTTTCTTTGAAAACGTTTCACTTCTCCTCTAAGAGCTGAAGTACTTTCTCGGAGGAGAAGCAAAATATTTTCAAAGAAATTAAACCAAGAAAATCTAGTTGCCTTTTGGAAAAAGCACCTTTAGGATAAATATGCTGATGTTACCTAGTTCTCTGTATTATGCCACTCAACTTCAGAGACATAGCATGGACCCTTGGAAGATTGCATGGTCCTTGGTGTTCTCTGAGTTTGGTGGCTTTCATCAGTGCCCTGATGACGTTATCTAGTTTGGTAATGAAATGTCTGCAAGAAAACCAAGCTCAAAGAGCATCAAGGACTCAGCAGTTCAACCATGAACTACAAATATACTCTTCTATCAGTACACTTGGATGAGAGAATATATTGGTGTGATAAGCAGAGAAGATGGGTGTGCTATGGGTCCAAAAGAAATAATGTTACAGTATTGTGATTTAAACTGGGCTGGATGGTGCTACACTCCGTCCATAGGTTATGTGTGATCCCCAGGAGATTGTTCAGAGAAATCAATGGTAAAAAGTGCATTTCCACAATCATGCTAAGCATATCAGTTCCAATTGTTTGTGGCCAGCTGGATTTGGCAACAGTTATACACATTTTTGCTGTATCTCATTTGTTGTACATGTAGTCCTCAACTTACAGCCATTCATTTAATGACTGTTCGAAGTTACAACGGCATTGAAAAAAGCTACTTGATGTTTTTCACATTTGCAATCACTGCAGCATCCCCATGTCATGTGATTAAAATTCAGACACTTGGCAACTGTTTCATATTTTTAAGGTTTGCAGTGTCCCGGGGGTCAGGTGATCCCCTCTGTATTTAGAGGCCACCTGAAAAAGTTTGTAAACTTTTAAAGATGATTTTGTAAATGATCAGACAGTCTCTACACTAATGTACTTTGGAATAAATGTATTTCAAATCAGAAAGTTCAGTTGCTGATATTATTGTACCTGTCTCTTTCCGCTCAATAAATCTTATTAAAGACTGTCACAATCTTACTTGAAATAATTATTTGTGGTTGAGGCAACTGCCGAAAAACCTGCCACAAGGGTACTTCTAAAGTCTCAGTATTTTCACTCTCCAATTTCTCCAAAGCAGTTTAAAATAAACCTGAAATTTGTTTTGAGAACCCACCCAAACTGTAGGAAATAAATCAATCAGTACTTCCATCTTACCCATAATTTTGTTCTGTCAAACAATCACTTCCAGCTCTTGATGGATAGCATTTTAGCAGCAACTGAATATCTAATGGTAGCGTAAGCACCAATAATAATTGTGTTTGCCTTCTGTGCTCTTCCCAAATAGCTTCTTGGATACCTTCTGGATGGTGGGAATGGTGTCATCTTCCAGTAATTTGTCCCTCCATTTGGGTTGGGTTTTTTGGGGGCAGAACAGCGAAGTTGTCATTTTTTTCCTCCAATAATTTATTGTTGGTTGTGATTCTTCATCAATAACCTGCCCATTGGACAATGTTACTGGGCATGAACACACACAAAGGTATAATACATGGCATTGCTAGGTTGTGCCAAGCCCCTCCTCCACAGGTAGCCCTTAACTTACAACCATAATTGAGCCCAGAATTATGGATATAAGTTGTGCGGGACATTAAGTGAATCAGGTGACCGGGTCCAATTTTACAACCTTTTTTTGCAGCATTTGTTAAGTGATCATTGGTCATTAAAGTGAGTTCCTTGTCTACAATGGTTGTTTTTTGGTTTTTTTTGCCAGAAACTGGAAATAAACACAAGTTTTGGGCAAGAAAGATTGTAAAAAGCTGTCACTGAATGCTGCAAGCAGCCATAAATGTGAGCTAGAAGCCCAGTGCCCAAAATTGATTAAATGGTGAGGCACGGTAGTGCAGTGGTTAGAGTGCAGAATTGTAGGTTACTTCTGCTGACTTCCAGCTGCCTGCAATTTGGCAGTTCGAATCCCACCAGGCTCAAAGTTAACTCAGCCTTCCCATTCTTTCCAGGTCAGTAAAATGGGGACCCAGATTGTTGGGAGCAATAGGCTGACTATGTAAAACACTTAGAGAGGGCTGCAAAGCCCTTTGAAGCAGTATATACGTCAATGCTAGTGCTAGTGCTAAATGAGCATGGAGAGGAGGGGAAAGAGAGGCAGGCAGTTATTGGAAGTTTGAATCAGAGCTGGAAGTAGATGTGGGGCGGTCCGTGGTAACTGAACGGTCACTAAACCAGATTGAAGACTACCTGGACAGTACAAGATAGCAATCCAAGAAGGTTGCAAACTCTACGAGTGCAAAAATAAATCAGAAATCTGTCCAAGAGGAACTGAAGATCCCCCCAAAAAATACAAGTTTACCTTCTCCATTTAAAGCCATGATGGCAAACCTATGGCACACATGCTAGAGGTGGCACACAGAGCCCTGTCTCAGCATACAAGCCGTCGCCCCAGCTCAACTCCGCCACACATACGCGTGCATGCCTGCCAGCTAGTTGGTCTTCGGGTCTCTGTTGCGCATGCGCAGGGGGACGGGTCATGCATGGGGGTCGCATGTGCATGCACGGGGGGGCAGGGTGAACATGCAGTGGTTGCACATGCATGC